CTTTCCCTCCTTTCTCTCTTAAGCACAAGACCTTTAAAGCACTTGCTGTATTTTTTAAGCTTTGGCCATCACTGTGGCTCTGGTGGAGCAGTAGCTGTATACAATAAAGCACCTTCCACCCCAGAGGTCAGAAATCCCCAGGCAAGGACAGCTGGTCAACCCCTGGAACACTGACAAGAAAGGCATGATCTCTTTTGCTGAAGGTGGCTCCCAGTCCCTACCTGGGCATGAAAAGAATCCCAGGCTTTCTGACCAGAGAACTAAGGTCCCTTGTCCTAATTGGAATGATTTTCTCATTCATTTATACAAAGAATGTATCATTTTCTGCAAGATGCAGCAAAAAGAGGTGCTCTTTCAAAGGATCCTAGTCTCCTGACTCCCCCAAGTTGTCTCCACAGAGAGAAAGAGAGAAGTTGAAGGTTTTAGCATATTAACAGCCGACAACAAATTAGTAACTATGTACTTTAATCTTCCACATTCATAATTGCACAAAATATTGCTGATCATTTAAATAATACACATCAATTACTCTAATGAAGTAACTAGTAAAACAAAAGGTTAAACGCAATGCTGTGTAAAAAATGTCTGACAATAACATTTAGAACACAAGTGCAGAATCAGAACAGGTCTTTTGAGGAATGGTTATCTAAAAATCCTTACCAACAGGGCCAAACACTATGGAGAAATACTCATAAATATATTCAACCTGCCAGATCTCTCAGGCAAACACACAGCCATTCTAATAGGTCTGGCTACAGTGACTTTCCACATATCTACAGTGGTTTCTAACACTAATGTTTGAGGGTGGGAATGCAGAATGGGAATGAAGGGGGGACTACCATTTGCTTTAAGTATAGAATCAGGTGAGGAAGGCTAAACTCCTGACTAGTCAATTTTAAAATGGCATGACCAGAACTTTGTTACACAGAAAAATATTTTCTTTTCCTGCAAAATGTATATGCATCAAAAATGGCTGACAATCTTGCCCATGCTAGGGGAAAGTTGAGTGTGGAAAAATCTGCATTTTTCTATCTCTGCTGTAAAGAAAATAAAAAGCCAGAGCATTTTGGCATTAGCAAAAGGCTGAACTAAGTTCTCAGGCAATAAATTTATGGGGAAACATGACAGGCTCCTCATTAAAGCTATGTGTACGTTGGCTGAATTTTATACAAGATTCTTGAATCTTGTGGAAAATTGGGCACGGCTTGACATCTGAACAATGTCCCTGGTTTGTTTGATTTTTCTAAAGCATCGGAAAATGTTGCACTTTGGAAATCAAGTAGAGAAGAATAAACACACTTTAAAACCGAACTGGGCTGAATCTGAAAGTTATTTTTCCATATGTCTCTATGAGATATTTATTGCATTTATTTCTCATACAAACTCAGCTCCTCACGCTAGAAATACTGTGGTGCCTTTTTTTTTTTTTTTGGTGGCGAGAAAATAGTACTGTTCAGGCAAATCTTACCCGGCAGCAGGAACCACCTAAGGATAGGCAATTTTCAGTTGGCTTTTCAGAAGCTGGTTGCCATGACAAAGAGCACAATTTATTCTGCAGTCCCTTATCATAGCTGTGATCATAGACCATAAAAATTAACAAGCCTCTTTTCCTCTTCCGTCTGATTTCAGAGTTCTTCATCCTTACCTGAGGTCTTTCGTTCCTCCAATTAAATGGAATGAATGTCAGTCATCTAGCAATTCAATTAATGCTGATTCAAAAATACCGGCCCGAACCAGAATCTATAATCACAACCTCCTAATCACAGCTCAGTCATGAGAATGAAAAGTAAGCAGGAAATTACACTAATTACTCCATTAGACTAATACTGTATTTTTAAGCAATGGCTTAAGGGGTTGTCAGCCCTGACAAAGGACTTCAGAGTCCTTCTCACCCTGTGTATCCCCCATTGCCCAATTGAAGCTGATGCTTTCAAGTGGTCATAATTCCTGCCCATCTAACGTAGATGGACCTGAGCTGGACAATGGAAATTTAAGACTCATATCTCTACTACAAAAATAAAAAAAAAAAGCAGATCCAGTGGGCTTCAAGGGGCTCTCGACAGAGCCGGTACAATGGCCAGGGCTTTCATGTTGGAGGCCCTCATCCTCACTGTGAAGACAGATGAGTGTGCACCTGTCTGGTCCCAGGAAACATCTAATGGGGGGGAGTATTTGGTAGATGTAGAACTGCTCTACTAAATTTTAAAACTGAGCAATGCTCACAGGCACCAGAGCCTGTAGGATGCAGGACAGGGGGCTCTTCAGTGAATAGGCCATACCTGGTGTGGGGCCTGTGAGTGGCTGGACCCTAAGGCTTGTCCTACACCCCAGGGACAGCTTCTCACGCCATGCCCACCTGGAAAATTCTTTATAAAATCAAGAACAGGAGATGTAAAAACTGGTTGAGAAGAACACACCAGCAGCTGTGACTGAAATATTTACAAAACAACACAGGATATGGACCAAACAAACTGGACCTTATTAAAAAAGAGAGATCCTTTCTCCTGTTCAGCTTCACGAGACTTAAATATTCTGTAAACAACAGGGAGGAGGACACTAGAGCCTGTCACGCCTCTGGATTTCGTGGTCACTTGTCAAAATCCTTCCCAAGTTGGCTGTGGGGAGAGGAGCTGGAGACAGGGAGAGGGAAGAGAGCCTCGATCTAGGGTCGCCATCTTTCCTCTGCAGCAGTTTCTGAAAATGACCAAATGGGAACTGCCCAGGGGTTCCAAAAGAAGGGAAAATATTTATTGGATTAAGTGAGACAAAGTCTTTACTTCCAGGGTTTGCCTTGCACTTGGCTGCTACTGAGGGACCGGGGTGTTGGGTGGCCGGCAGAGCCCCCAGCAGGCGTGTTCTGAGCGCTGCGGGCCCCAGGCACCTTCGATTCTCTTCCAGAGGAGTTAGCTTGGTTCAGTCGGCCTAAGGAAGCAAGGAAGTGGGAGCAGAGCTTCAAGAACCATTCCAGGTACAATGCGCCAAGTGCACTTTTAAGGTAATTAAGTCCTGGTCTACAAGCACTTTCAAGCTAATGACATTCTGTATGGTACCAACTTTAGGCCAAGGATGACCTCCTCTTTATCCTTGAAATCAGCTTCAAGGTGAGGAAAGGGACAGAGGATGATAAAGGGAAACCCAAATAGCTTTTTCCCCCCATTCTCTCCATTATTCTAACAAACCTAATCTGTCCTTCATCCTTTTCTTGGTAGAGGAGGGTACAGAGAGAGCCATGATCAAAGGAAAGAGAAGAGAAAGTACCGAGCCCGGGGAGGCAGGAAGACAAACCACAGAAGCTCTCAGGAGTGATGTAAATGTCCCCAGAAGTAGCAGAAGGAATCGAAGACTTCTCAGGAAGGAATCTGAAAGCCTCATGCGTAATGCATCAACTCTGCCTGTGGTGCACACTTCATGGATAAACTGTTTGTGTGCAACACCGACTTTTTGCCACTCTCTGGGATCATCACACACACACATACACACACACACACACACACACACACACACACACACACACAGAGCACCTGTACCCACCCCCAAATATTTTAAGCATCTTAATATAAGAGATGAAACTTTTCATATGAGGTGCTGCTCAAAGCTGCAAATGCCAAGTGCTGCAGAAAACATTCTGTTTATAGGTTAAAATATCTTACTAGGATTGTCTGCAGGACCTTGATCTTCTTCCAAATAATATTCTATCTTTTTTAAATCTTCTGGGGTAAATCTCCATTTATTCTCAGCTGGTAGGGGCGGCACTTTGGGGCTGGATCGTTTTCGAGCAGAGCCAGGAGGAAGGGCCTGCTGGCAGGATGCTGGCAGGGAACCAGTAATCAGTCCTTCTGGGAATTTCTGAGCTAAGACTTTCAGACCTAAGTTTAGAAGATCATTAGAAAAAGCAGAATTAATATGATAAGGCCAAGGCAAAACCTGGAAAGGAGCCTGCATGTGTTCTAATCTTTGGTCACCAAGTTGAGGCCAACTTAAAGCCAGGAAATCTTTCTTAACTGTGTCACTGTTAAACAAATTACACCAGAAAATGCCAGTTGTTAGGGAGGATTCTGCGAATGCCACAGGAAACTTTTTCACTCAAGTCTTTAGCATTAGGGCTTTCTTTTGGAGCCGCAGGACAACATCATTATTTTAGGAATTAAAAACATGTGCTGATGGAGTTACTGGAAGTTCACGTAACCACTGTCTCCTTTCAGCCTGCATATTTGCTCTCTCTAGAATGAATAAATCCTGAGCACTGGGAGGAAAAAGGTGACAGGGGTGCGGTGGAAGGATCCTGAGTCCAAATACCTGCCTCATAAGTCCTAAGCAGAATACAAGCTCACTCACCTCCAGAAAGCATGAAAAGGTTTTCAAATCCGCGCTCACACATAGTAGTGGCTGCCTGGCTGGCCAGCCTTTCGTCATCATCATACAGAATAATGATCTTGCCATGAGCATTTTTCTAGGAGTCAAATGAGTCAAGGTTTGAAGACACTAAGCTCAAGCTCCTAGACTATAAGAAACCCCCAAGAAGAACCAGCAGTTGGCGTAATGGCTATGTCGCTGGACTCCCACGTAGTCGACCGCGGTTCATGTCCCGGACCTGGTGGCTTAAAACTCACGCCGGGCGTGTGTGCGTGCGTGCCCAGGATCCCGAGAGGAGAATGGAGGAGAAGGGATTGCGGCGTGACCATCCCCCCTGGGGGGTGATTTCTCGCTTTCTGTCTCTATGTCTCTCTCTGTCTGTCTGGCGAGCGCAAGTGCCCTATAGTGAAAATCTCAAAAAAAAAAAGAAACCCCCAAGAAATAAAGGGCTATCAGGGTATACTTTCCTGAGCTCAGGGGAACAGCAAATAATGGAAACCATAAACCAGCACTCTTTTCTTTTATAAACCAGTATTACCAGGGTCTATGAAAGCACTAGTTATCTAATTTATATCCTTCAGCTCTTTAATCCTTACAATTCTGTAGAATAAACACTCCATTTCATAGACGAGGAAACAAAAAAACTGCTATACCCAACGTCTCTACTAAAGCCTTATCTACAGTAGTAAAAAAGTGGGAACTATGTCCAAATAGAGGTATGACTTAGTAAATTACAGTAAACCTAAAGATGTATAATAACATGGTATCAAAATTGAATTCACAGAGTTTGAGTTAGCCTGGAGGAATACATTGTAATATAAAGTGGGAAAAAGTAAGATATTAAATTACGTATACAATATGATTCCAACTTTATTTAAAAAAAAAGGAGATAGTCTGGAATAAAATACACTAATAATATAATAGGCGTTTTTACTCAATTGTGTGATTATAGGAGACTTTTTTTTTTTTTTAATTTTGTTGTGGAGAGACAGAGAGGAAAAGTGAGAAAGCAAGAAAGCAAAGCCCCATAGGGGAATAGTCCCACCACAATCCCTTCTTTTCCATTTCTCCTTTTGGGATTTTTGGGCATGTATGCACATGTGCCAAACATGTTTCTCAAGCCATCACGTCTGGGTGTTGAACCATGCAGTCCTCTATGTGGGATCCAGCTGCCTTAACCATCACACCACAGGCTGGCCCAATGTTCTTTTTCACATTTTTCAATGTTTAAATTATTTCCTACCTGTATGACTTTCAGGAATGAAAAAAATTAAAAATTTTAAAATAAAATATAATGATGTGGCTGACTGTGCAGGTCAAGTTCCAGAACTGGTCGTTTGAAAAACTCATTGGGCATGTGTGCATGTGTGCCCCAAATCCCAAAGGAGAAAGAGAAATTAAGAGATTGGAGCCTGACTGTCCCTCATGGAGAGTGCGTTTTCACTTTCCATCTCTCTCTGTCTCCCTCTCTGGTAAACACATGTGACCTCTAGATAATTAAAAAAAATTAAATAGAAAGAAAAATATTTATTTCTTAAATTCTACTTGGGAAATATTTGTGAGGGAAAAAAGTCTTAGGACTAATTCTCAATAGGCCATAACCCTTGACCTAGTGTTTTCTGGGTCAGGGCAACACAGTTTGGAAGCACCTGCCTTAATAAGCACCAATATTCTCAGCAATAGCTAGGAATCCAAATTATAAAATACGTCAAGCTAATTAATACTGAAGGTCTTCACAGTTGTTCACATTGAAGGTCTTCTCACTAGGAGCATGATTCACCATAAGTTTGATTCTTACCTTCATACCACTCAATTCCTTAAAACACAACAAAGGATACATATTCAAGAATATCATTTGAATAAGGGTTCATTGTCCTAGACAGAGTTGCAATTGGGTAACTGTAAGCTGCAAAGAGAAGGAAAAGTTTTGTTAGTCTGTAGCTCTCTTGGTACAATTTGGCTCAAATCTCAGCTGGCTTAAAATCTAAGAGTTGAATACATTTTCAGAATCAATGAGCCATAACCCTAAATACTTTTGTGAAAGAAAAGAAATAAGACACCATGTCCAAGGTTGAAGCATCACTTCACTGTTTCCACTGTTCAGCCCTGGGCCTCTGAGTCAGCCAAGAACACCAGCAGCCTTTCCGAGGGCATCGGGGCTGAGTCAACGTTATAGGTTTTTCACTACGGATCCACCCAATATATGGTTTCCTTGATTGTTGACCCAGGGCTGTGGTTCAAGTCCACCTGGACTCAAGAACAGCCTCTGTTCTTGGCAGTGAGGCACTATAAAGCCTTCCCTCTCTTACCTCCCACAATGTGGCACTGCTGGTAAGAATCTCTATCGCGCACATCTAGCAGCAGGAAGGGGCAGTCAGGATAAGGCCTGTCTTTGGTGCTAGGCTCTGCTTTCTTCACTAGCCCTTTGTCTAGATCCAGTTCTCCAACGCCGCTGATGACGCTGCAAATGAAAAAGTAGGTCAGTAGAAGCTAGTCAGGGGTTGGTGGGTTAAAGGTCAAATGCATATCTTCAGAACAGTGAGATGTGTGTTCAATGTCTTTTCAAAAGATACTTCAAAGAAAATGGGAAAATGGATATTGTGTCTCAGTCCTGCCTCTGAAGTGGGAGCCTATGGATTCCTATTCCATTACACTGGATTCCAAAGAGGAGCTCCCTCAGATAATGTAAGCTCGGTCATTACGTGGCTGAGGGGGTGGAAACTGTAAGCACATGCTGCCTCCAGGAACAAGGGCAGCACTCAGAAAAAGGAAGAGAAAAGCAGTTAATCCAATGGAATTTTGAGGAATGCAGGAAAGTGCAGCAAAGGGGAAGCTTAAGGGGTGACAGGGCAAGAAAAATGTAATTTTATGTATATTATATGTACTATAAAGTAACAATAATATTTTATAGTTTTTTATGTGTCATGTTTATGCAACGAGTTGTTCAATATGGACATTGAATTTTTTTTTTTTTTTGAAGAGGTTTTTGCTATAGGGCATGTGAACTTTGCTAGAAAGACAGAGAGATAGAAACAGAAAGCAAGAAATCACCCTGCAGTGAGGATGGCCATGCTGCAACCCCTTCTCCTCCATTCTCTTCTCGGGATCTTAGGCACGCACGCACGTGCGCCTGGCGTGAGTTTAAGCCACTGGGTCCGGGACTTGAACCGCAGTCGACCATTGAATCTTATTTTTAAAAGTTATCTAAACTTACTTCCATTGTATAGGTTATAATGCTGAGGTTGAAGAGCCTTTTAGATTTGGTGCCATTCACATGGGACAGAAGAAGAGCAGGGACTAAAATGGGAGAGCTCACCACAGACAGATCTGTTTCTAAGGCTGCTATATCACAAAAACTGGTTGTGATTTTCATATTATAGGAAAAATGTGATGAAAATGTGAACCAAAGGCATAGGAAGACTGAAGATTATAAATGTTGTGGTAACCTGGAGTATCTGTATTGGAATAAGAAGATGGCTACTGTCTCAGGAGATAGTAAGATATTAAGATACACTTGCTAAACCACAGGTTGGTATGTAACACACAGTTCCTCTCCATTAAAGTAAATAAAATTCTGCATTTAAATCTGATAAACTCTATAACTGTATTGCTATCTGGTGCTTATTTTGTGACCAAAGGAGAAGAAAATCTATTTGATGTGAAACTGCCTCCTTGGTGGAGGTCCTGTTGTCCTCTCTCTTCTTGAATGCAATTTTAGAGTCCTTTCACAAAAGTAGCTAGAAAAATATGAGTGGGATTGATGACAGTAATTCTTTCTCTAATAGAACTGGTTTCTCTAGTAAAATTGTTTTACTAGTATAAGGAATGAGTATGTGTTGAAAAATCAGCACTGTCTTCTAATTAATAGTTATATTTGTGAGAAAGAATGGCATGGGATAAAGTCCATGCAGTGAGCCCACTGAACAGGAAGGAGCCGTCGCGTGCAATTCTAGAATGAACACCCAGTTACTTTCACTCTCTTTTGCATCTATTCACTATCAGAACACTACGTGTGGCTCTGCAACTATTTTTCTGATTCTAGACAGGGTAATTATAAGCTGCAGTAGACAGAAAAGCAGGGAAAATCATACTCTCTGAATCAAATGGGAGTACTTGTAAAGCTAAGTCCTAATGACAAGATTACACATAGGAGGGCAGAACAGAATGGAACTGAGGAGTGAAGATTATTACCCTCCTATTAATATGTTCGTGCATTAGCTCAGTACGAACACTGTCAAAAGGATTGAGGAAGTGGCACTTACACAAAGAGAAAGTAAAAGGACTGGGATGAAAACGTGGGACTTCAGTATAACCAATTCTGTTTCTAAGGTAATTAAATCACAGAAATCGGTCGTGAATGCAGTGAACATGTGAGTCAGATTAGAGTACCTCTGAAGGGTTGAACGACTGGAGTCTCCTGCGCCCACACTGTTTATGAACTGGACAGGGCTTGGCGACTGCTCATCCGGGCTCCCTTTCCCATTGGTTCTAGCAGTGCTTTCAGCATCAGGGTCTGAAGCTGCAGAATCATTCTCTAAAATTTGCAAATAAAAAAATAATTAAATTCAACCTGAGGATCTGCATTTACTTAGGAGGAAATCCAACTGAAATTAAATCTAGAAAAGGAAATCTTGTAACAATCATTTGATTGTTCCTGAAGTTCTATTGCTCAGGAAAACTTTATAAATCTCCAGATTTTTTCTTTTTTTGAGGGACTGCAGGGTGAAAACTATTTTCAAATAGTTTAAAAGACATTGTCTTTTCACTGCATTGATATTTGTATTGATGATGCAAAAGAAATGGTGGATAGAACACTAGGCACCTTAGCAAGAATCAGGACAGTAGCACCTAACTTTATCAGCAATTACTGTATTTTTCACTTTCATGCACACACTCAGTAATAAATATGGTGGTCATGTTAAACAAATAAGTCTCTGATAAAGTAAAAATGACAAATATTTTTATTAACTCTCACCCTGAAGAGGGACATACCTTTTTAATGATCTATGTGATAAAATGGGGAATCCACTTTATTTAAGCTTGCTGCATACCAAAGTGCCAGGGTTATCTCAAGGAAAAATATTAGCATCACTGCTGAGCTGCAAGCTAAACCAGCCACTTTTGCCATGAAGGCTATATTTACTAAGAAGTAAATGTGACAAAAACAGAAAGCCGTGGTTACTTAGACTTATATATTTGACAGACATTTTCTCAAAAACAAACTAAGTGAGCCTATCATTTCAAGGAAAACAACCAATGAATTTGTTGCCAGTGATTAAATTTTGAGCAAAAATCAGATTTTGGAAATTGTATTTGCTTCAGGAGGTGAAATACAGGGAGTTGCTTCCCCATACTTCTAGACTTTTCTGATCAAGACAGATGGTGATATTAATAAATGTGATTGTTTTTTATAGAGTGTAATGAAATTTGTCAACACGTAGATCTTTCAAACTCAGTGAACTCATGTTTTCCAAATGACCAATGCATGATACTATAAAATATTGCATAAGTAAGAGACTCATTCAAAGTGGAAGAAAAACCAATGAATTTTAGTGTAATAGAGTATGAAAGGGTCATTAATATGGTTTCAGATTCCACATTACAGCTAACTTTTAAGAAATGATCAGATGTCAAGTTTTGATGCAGTATAAAAATCATGTCCACAATTATTTGAAAGGGCTATTAAAATACTCCTCCATTCTCTAACTACACATCCATATGAGCTGGATTTTCTTCCTATACTTCAACTCAAACAGCATATTGCAACAGACTGAATACAGAAACAGGTATGGCTTCTTCTATTAAACCAGACATTAAAGAAATTTACAAAATATGTAAAATGATACCATTCTCAGTAACATTTTGTTTTAGAAATATCACTATTTTTCACAAACATATGTTTTTATGTTTATAAAGGGTTTGTTACTGAAAAGTGAAATAATAACTAAATAATAAATTCTTAGTTTAATCTTTTAATACACGAAATATTGATAGATATAACGTATAAAACAAAGCTCAATATTGGAGCCCTCAATAGTTCTTTTTTTTTTTTTTAAGGGCACGTGTACTTGCCAGAGAGAAACAGAGAGAAAGGGAGAGAGAGACAGAAAAGGCTAAAAAGCACCCCTTCCAAAGGGGATGGCATACTACAATCCCTTTTCCTCCATTGTCCTCTTGGGATTTTGGACATGTGCCTGATAATTTCCAAGCCACTGGGTCCAGGACTTGAACTGCACAGTCAGTCATGTGGGATCCAGCTAGTCCTCAATAATTTTTATGATTGTGAAATAAAATTGAGACCAAAAGGTTTGGGAATTTGCTGCTCTAAAGCATACAATGATAGAAGAAGAAATATAAATAAGAGACCTAATTATTAAAGAGGATATTAAACTATAATTGCATATGATATGATAACGTGCATATTATATATTCCTGATTGGGTGACTCAAAGTGAAACAATGTAAATCCTTTCCAAACTTAAGTTTTAGCCTTAATATTAATCTCAATGGGATTTAAAATACACACACATACACACATATTAAGGGTAATTTGGAGAACTATCTTATTAAATAGCAATATATATTGAAAAGGTAAATGATCAAAATAGTGCAGAACTACAACCAGAACAATGGACTATAACAGAGAACATGGAAACAAATTCTGGAATATATAAAAAAAAATTTGTATGTTCACATCATGAATCAGTGAGTAAAGGGAGAACTATTGAATAAATAGTGCTGGGAATAGTTCTCAACTATCTGGAAAAATTTAATTACGATAGTCACTTCTCAGAACCCGCAAATGGCATAATGGTTATGTCGCTGGCTTCCTGCATGGTTGACCGTAGTTCAAGTCCCGTACCTGGTGGCTTAAAACTCATGATAGGTGTGTGTGCATACATGTCCAAAATCTCAAGAGGAAAAGACGGGATTGCAGTGTGGCCATCTCCCCCCTGGGAGTGATTTCTTGCCTTCTGTCTCTCTATCGCTCTCTGTCTCTTAGGTAAATGCATGCACCTTAGAGCAAAAATCTCTCTCTAAAAAAAAAAGATAGCCACCTCTCATCATATACCAAAGTATATAATAGATGGTTTAATATTAAATAAAAAACAAAGAAGGCAACAGAAGAAAGTATAAGTGAATAATTTACCTTATTTTGCAATTTATGAGCCTATAGCAATAAAAGAAAACAATAGAGAAGGCTAATAGATTTGATAGTGTAAAAAAACGCAGGCCTCAAAAAATGCAAACCTCATACACGTTCAAAACAACACAAAATGAAAAGGTGAGTAACAAATAAGGAAAATTATCTGTAACACACATACATGAGAAAAAATTAATATAACCAATTTATAGTTATTTTTAATTAACTAGCTCTTGAATTCAAAAAGGATCATGTGCAGGAGGTAAAAACGCCAACAACACAGAATTGACAGAATTATGAATATGGAAAATAAGTCTTCTTCCCATATCAGACCCGCATGCCCTCAGGAAAACAGCTACATACTTTTAAGTATATTTTACTTCCTTCCCTCTTTACATACCCAGGAGGATTCCATTTACACTGCTCTATACTTTGAGGTTTTGTTTGCTTTGTTGTTGTTTTATTTTTATTTACTAATATAGCCTGGAAATTTTTCTTAAAAAATCAAGAAAAGATTTTTCTCACTCATTTTCAAGGTTGTATTGGATTCCACTGTAAAAAGATATCATAATTATACAGGGCTCTTATAAACCAATACAGTAAAAAATAGGAAAAGGCACGTACAGTACTTAAAAAAAAAGAAACACGTATGACCAATAAACATACACACAGCTCAAGCTCGCTATCAAAGAAACTAAAGTAAAACTTTAGATACCACATTTCGTCGATTGAATTGGCAAATAATTACAAAATTATAATTATTCCACAGTGGTCAAGTCGTGGAGAAACACATCTCATCCATTCTTGGTGTGGGTGCAAAGAGGACCACCCTGCTGGAGACAGTGTGGTCATCAGCACTGAGTGTCTGAACGGTTCCACCCTTTGATGATATGCAGTAATTTATCCTCTTGAAATAATCAGGATCATACAAATTTTTAGGTATATAAATTGCAGCATTATTTTATGAAAGTGAAAAATCAGAAACAACTGCAATGCCCACCAATAGGTAAACAGTTAAATTATGGTATGTTCAAAGGATAGACATTATATGACAAAGCGACCTTCACAATCATGTTTTTGAAATCTATTTAATGACATAGGAAAGAATGTATACAAAAATGTTAATTGAAAACAGTATAATGCAAAACGATACACAAAGAGTATGGATTTGATTGGGGTGAAGAGGAAAAATGGACCAAAATGTTAACAGTGGTTATTAGTTATTTTAAGTTTCTGCTTTATATATATTTTTTTTTCAGTTTTCTAATTTACTAGAAATAACTTTTAAGTCAGGAAAAAGTAATAAACATTATAAAAGAGATTATTGTATTCCTTCGAAGTTAACCAGTATGCATGCAGATACAATCTGCTCTCCAGGCCCTTCTGAGTGAGTTATTATCTGTGTAGAGTACTAGAAAACACTAATATTACTCACACATTATGGTGTCCTACTTTACAAGAGCCTATTTTGCCGTGCAAATTTATCTCAGAAGAGAAAATTGCATGTGCCCATATGTTCTGGTGCTGCAATCTCAACAGTGAATTAAAGGACTAAATCTAGGTGCTTATATAACCCGGTTAAAATTGGGAGTACTTGTATGAGGAGACTCAATTATCTCTGTTACAAAGAGCCCTTATTTCTCTGCCGTGTGAGAGGCATCTGTCAAAGATAAATTCCTGTCGTTTTCAGATGCTCTTTATCCTCCCTAACAAAAACCAGCCGAGGGAAATGACAGTGGAGTTGCACGAAACCAGTGTTCAGACTTCCCGAGAAACTTGTCTTGAAATCAGAAGTCAAATTCCTGACCTACATCAATCTTAACAAAACACATTCCCCTTCAATAAACAGCCACGCATTGACTGTTGGGTACTTCAGGATAAAATAGAGACCTTAACTCTGTGGATTCTTTTCACGAGAGCACAACTAGGAGGCTTCATTTTCGACTTGATATTTAAGAAAGGAAATGTGGAGTGCACCTATCTTTCGAGCCTTATCTTCTATCTAGTACCTACTTCTCCTTTAGACCACAGCAAGATTGGATTACTGGATTCCCCAAACATGCTTGGTGCTCTTACGTCTCCATGCCTTTCTCAGGCTGCTCATCAGCCTGTAATAGCCTCAACCTTAACTTGTACCTGTGAAGATTCTTGACCCCCTTCAAGGCCTTGAGGAAGCTTACCTTGGTCTTCATTTATTTATTTACCTTGGTCGTCTAACTGGAAAGTGTCTTTCCTTTCTCAGAACTCCCAGAGCATCCTGCATCTCTCTAGAGGCACTTTCCAGAATCCCTGAAGGATGCAAGGCAGGCAGTGAAAAGACACTGTTGCCACCAGAGACACATAGATTTGTACCATAGCATTCTTTACTAGTCATATGAACTCAAGTAATTAATTTAACCTCTGAGGCTTAAGCTTCTCGGCTGTAAAGCACATCTTCCTTCTAGAGCTTTTGAGAAGGTAAATAAGAAAACTCATGTGAAGTGCCTAGCAATAACTACAACCACAACAATGGACTATAACAGAGAACATGGAAACAAATTCTGGAATATATAAAAAAAAATTTGTATGTTCACATCATGAATCAGTGAGTAAAGGGAGAACTATTGAATAAATAGTGCTGGGAATAGTTCTCAACTATCTGGAAAAATTTAATTACGATAGTCACTTCTCAGAACCCGCAAATGGCATAATGGTTATGTCGCTGGCTTCCTGCATGGTTGACCGTAGTTCAAGTCCCGTACCTGGTGGCTTAAAACTCATGATAGGTGTGTGTGCATACATGTCCAAAATCTCAAGAGGAAAAGACGGGATTGCAGTGTGGCCATCTCCCCCCTGGGAGTGATTTCTTGCCTTCTGTCTCTCTATCGCTCTCTGTCTCTTAGGTAAATGCATGCACCTTAGAGCAAAAATCTCTCTCTAAAAAAAAAAGATAGCCACCTCTCATCATATACCAAAGTATATAATAGATGGTTTAATATTAAATAAAAAACAAAGAAGGCAACAGAAGAAAGTATAAGTGAATAATTTACCTTATTTTGCAATTTATGAGCCTATAGCAATAAAAGAAAACAATAGAGAAGGCTAATAGATTTGATAGTGTAAAAAAACGCAGGCCTCAAAAAATGCAAACCTCATACACGTTCAAAACAACACAAAATGAAAAGGTGAGTAACAAATAAGGAAAATTATCTGTAACACACATACATGAGAAAAAATTAATATAACCAATTTATAGTTATTTTTAATTAACTAGCTCTTGAATTCAAAAAGGATCATGTGCAGGAGGTAAAAACGCCAACAACACAGAATTGACAGAATTATGAATATGGAAAATAAGTCTTCTTCCCATATCAGACCCGCATGCCCTCAGGAAAACAGCTACATACTTTTAAGTATATTTTACTTCCTTCCCTCTTTACATACCCAGGAGGATTCCATTTACACTGCTCTATACTTTGAGGTTTTGTTTGCTTTGTTGTTGTTTTATTTTTATTTACTAATATAGCCTGGAAATTTTTCTTAAAAAATCAAGAAAAGATTTTTCTCACTCATTTTCAAGGTTGTATTGGATTCCACTGTAAAAAGATATCATAATTATACAGGGCTCTTATAAACCAATACAGTAAAAAATAGGAAAAGGCACGTACAGTACTTAAAAAAAAAGAAACACGTATGACCAATAAACATACACACAGCTCAAGCTCGCTATCAAAGAAACTAAAGTAAAACTTTAGATACCACATTTCGTCGATTGAATTGGCAAATAATTACAAAATTATAATTATTCCACAGTGGTCAAGTCGTGGAGAAACACATCTCATCCATTCTTGGTGTGGGTGCAAAGAGGACCACCCTGCTGGAGACAGTGTGGTCATCAGCACTGAGTGTCTGAACGGTTCCACCCTTTGATGATATGCAGTAATTTATCCTCTTGAAATAATCAGGATCATACAAATTTTTAGGTATATAAATTGCAGCATTATTTTATGAAAGTGAAAAATCAGAAACAACTGCAATGCCCACCAATAGGTAAACAGTTAAATTATGGTATGTTCAAAGGATAGACATTATATGACAAAGCGACCTTCACAATCATGTTTTTGAAATCTATTTAATGACATAGGAAAGAATGTATACAAAAATGTTAATTGAAAACAGTATAATGCAAAACGATACACAAAGAGTATGGATTTGATTGGGGTGAAGAGGAAAAATGGACCAAAATGTTAACAGTGGTTATTAGTTATTTTAAGTTTCTGCTTTATATATATTTTTTTTTCAGTTTTCTAATTTACTAGAAATAACTTTTAAGTCAGGAAAAAGTAATAAACATTATAAAAGAGATTATTGTATTCCTTCGAAGTTAACCAGTATGCATGCAGATACAATCTGCTCTCCAGGCCCTTCTGAGTGAGTTATTATCTGTGTAGAGTACTAGAAAACACTAATATTACTCACACATTATGGTGTCCTACTTTACAAGAGCCTATTTTGCCGTGCAAATTTATCTCAGAAGAGAAAATTGCATGTGCCCATATGTTCTGGTGCTGCAATCTCAACAGTGAATTAAAGGACTAAATCTAGGTGCTTATATAACCCGGTTAAAATTGGGAGTACTTGTATGAGGAGACTCAATTATCTCTGTTACAAAGAGCCCTTATTTCTCTGCCGTGTGAGAGGCATCTGTCAAAGATAAATTCCTGTCGTTTTCAGATGCTCTTTATCCTCCCTAACAAAAACCAGCCGAGGGAAATGACAGTGGAGTTGCACGAAACCAGTGTTCAGACTTCCCGAGAAACTTGTCTTGAAATCAGAAGTCAAATTCCTGACCTACATCAATCTTAACAAAACACATTCCCCTTCAATAAACAGCCACGCATTGACTGTTGGGTACTTCAGGATAAAATAGAGACCTTAACTCTGTGGATTCTTTTCACGAGAGCACAACTAGGAGGCTTCATTTTCGACTTGATATTTAAGAAAGGAAATGTGGAGTGCACCTATCTTTCGAGCCTTATCTTCTATCTAGTACCTACTTCTCCTTTAGACCACAGCAAGATTGGATTACTGGATTCCCCAAACATGCTTGGTGCTCTTACGTCTCCATGCCTTTCTCAGGCTGCTCATCAGCCTGTAATAGCCTCAACCTTAACTTGTACCTGTGAAGATTCTTGACCCCCTTCAAGGCCTTGAGGAAGCTTACCTTGGTCTTCATTTATTTATTTACCTTGGTCGTCTAACTGGAAAGTGTCTTTCCTTTCTCAGAACTCCCAGAGCATCCTGCATCTCTCTAGAGGCACTTTCCAGAATCCCTGAAGGATGCAAGGCAGGCAGTGAAAAGACACTGTTGCCACCAGAGACACATAGATTTGTACCATAGCATTCTTTACTAGTCATATGAACTCAAGTAATTAATTTAACCTCTGAGGCTTAAGCTTCTCGGCTGTAAAGCACATCTTCCTTCTAGAGCTTTTGAGAAGGTAAATAAGAAAACTCATGTGAAGTGCCTAGCAATAACTATTCCAAAAATGATGGTTTCCTTCCACTCTTCCATGATTAAATTCTGCTGCATTCGCAATTTTGTGATACTGTTATCATTCTCCTCACCCAGCACACATTCACATGTGCAATGCACACACGTCACCACAAATCCACATAAGCCCAGCTGTGTGCTGTTCATCTCTATAGTCTCATAGCACTGAGTTCTGGTATGTGTACCTACAGAGAAGGCACTAAAAACATCTGTTGAAAAACATCAGTATATTATACATATCTCAAACATTTAAAGCTGTAACTGTTAAGCCAGAAAAACAGATGGCTGTTTCAAAGACATAAGCATTAACAAGGCACCAGATAGAATTTCTCTGAGAGTAACAATCTAATTCCAAATAGATACATCAAAGACTGGAATTCCTATGAACAGGACAGCAAATATGTACAGAGTGAGACTTCAGGCAAATAGTCTATCTACTATTTTCCCCACACTCTCAATTCTCATTACCTTCAAGCCTTTGAATCTCTTCTGCTGTCACTTCCAGTGTTTGATCAGATAGGGAAGCAACTTGGATGACCTGATAGAAAAAAAGAATAAAATGTGTACGTATGTGCATGTTTGTTTGTTCTTAAGCAGAAGCAATTTTGTCCTTTACAAAAGATAAGGGGGTAGCAAACATCAAAGATCTCTTGTTTTAAGAAACTCTGTCAGTATCCTCAACTGAAGACTGAATCTCAGGCCTCCTGTCTTTCAGGATGGTAATTATACTGCAGATTATTATTCTAAAAGAAAAGATTCATTTAACACATTACAAAATAAACTTAAAAAGCCAAAAGGATAATTTAGCACAAGAAACATGAGGAAGAGTTTAAAACTACATCTTTATGTGTTCTGGTCCCAACATAACACATTATTTCTTGAAAATGTAATATTGGCCTACAATAACATGGAATGGTATCAACAATTCTCTGTGCAATGAAGAAATAAATGCAATTATGAATATATACTGATCACATCATTTGATAACCATATACAGTATTCATTTTAAAAAATAGTTTTTACAACTTAACTTATAAAGACCCAAGATCCAACATGAATTACACCGATGGAACTCTAATTTATTTATTTATTTAGAGAGATTTTTGCTATGGGGTGTGTTTGCTTGCTGGAGACAGAGAGAGAGAGAACAGACAAAAAGAAAGCAAGAAATCCCCCACCCCCAGGTGGGGATGGCTGCAATCTTTCTCTTCTATTCTCCTCTCGGGATTTTTGGGCATGTATGCACATGTGCCTGGCGTGAGTTTTAAGTCGCCAGGTCTGGGACTTGAACCGGGGTCGACTACGTGGGAGTCCAGCGATGTAACCATTACATCATCTGTTGGTCCCAATGGAACTCTTATTTGGGGGCTGAAAGAGACACCTGTCTATTATCTTCATATGAAAGTAGAAAACATCTTGGTCAATAGTAACGAAATAGCCCATGGTAGAATGATTTAGAAATGAGATCAGTCATAGAAGAAGGAAAATCATTTGGTTTCCACAGAGAAAAATGTCCAAATAATCCAGAGTCCATGATCTAGATTCTAAACTTTCAATTAAACATATAAGAAAAAAATAAAACCTTAACTATAAATTCAATGAAATAAAGTAAAATGCACATTTACTTTATAGAATTAATTCAAGAAAAGAGAAAAATTACATACTATCCTCATGTGAACAAACACACCCCATCATTAATCTTCCCACAGTGAAATGCAAGGAGTGAAGAAACCCCTCTGCAAACATTCACTAGTTGCAGTTAGAAGCACTCATATTCAGCTGCACAAATCAGAGTTTTTATTCCAATGGTAAGACCACTGAACTTACCAGCTGTGCAAAAGTTGTAACTTTCAGTCTCTTAAAGAGTTCATCTTTTTTGTACCGATAATCTGAAAAGCAGAATAAGACAAATATTTATCTAGGTTTATGTTGCTTTCTTAAAACTATTTATCCTTTCTAACCATCAAGTTTTATGTTTTATCTTTCAAGGTATTTATACACTTTTAGATATACTGGGTTGTGGGAAAAGTCATGACACATTTTTGCATAGAAAAATAAGTCATGACTTTTCCGACAACCCAATGTTATCTCATTTGATACGCTCAATATCCTCAAAATTAGGTGTGACAGGTAGTATTATCATATGCTAATTTGTTTTCCTTTGGCTTTGGCCATTAGGAAAATTAAAATTGAATTTATAAATCACCTTTTTGTGTCCAGTGTGACTTCACCCTTTGCCTTTATTTTATTAGCCTACCATTTTTTCTTATACTAGGCTGTCTTTACCTAAACCACACTGTACTGCTTGTATTTTTATAAAGTGCATAAAACCCTTTTCAGAACCAAGCAGGGAATAAATATCTGCATTTTACAAATGAGGACAGAGATCCAGAGAAGCTGAGTTACTCCAGGTCCAAAACTGCTAAAAAAACCTTTCTGCCCTACTATTCTGCCGAGCTCGAAAAGATAGTCATAATATTCCTGCAGCTACCAACTATGCTAGAGAGACAGAACTTTCTTTGTATGTGGCATGAAGTTAGGATTGGTCTTAATAACCTCTTATCAGTTTTCCTTCGACTTCAATGATAAATGACCTATTCAGTATTACAAGATGAAACAAGGTCTGGAATTTTGTTGTATAACAATGTGAGTTTACTTAACGCAACTGAACCATTCACTTAAAAATGGTAAGTTGTATGTGTGTGTTTCACCACAACTGAAAATTAAAACCAACCTAAAATATCAGGATTCATTCAGTGCTACCATAATAGTTTTGAGATACAACTCAAATGGGGGTACTTCTACACTTGTATTAATAATATTTTGCATCACATTAGTTACTAAAAATGGGGCCGATCTCACTTTATCTGTCCCACAGATGCATGCTAAAAACATCCTTAACTTTTCTGAAGATGCCTACAAATTCTGAAGAGTCTTCTGTGTTGAACTCTTGCCCACCTTTATCCTTCCCTCCTTTCCTATGCCCCCCCCCCTTGGTGCCTGTGACTCCTTAAGTACAGCCTCATTATTCCAGAATTACCAAAGGTTAGCTGGATAATTGCTACAGCCCTCACAACATAAATGTCTCATAAACTAACACTCCTAGCAACGAAGGAAAGGATTAAAGGTATTTAAGATTGTTTATCTGGTGTTACTAATCATTTCCATGAATTTTACCAAAAAACCAGCACAGACCGGATGATTACTTGAAAGGCCAGCATAGGCTTGGTTTACCAAATGCAGTAGGATTTGAAGTCAGGAAATGATGGTACCTTGAAAACTGGCCTGCTGTAACTCTATCAAGACTCTTTCTTACAGGGAATTAAGTCTTTGTTCTAAAATGTCTCAAAGAGAGCAGTTTGATAAATAACAGACCATGCTTATAGAAAATTCTAGATGCAACAGAGCTTCTAAAACCTGCCAGGCAGCAGAACCAAGGAGACTGAGCAGACTTTTAAAAAGTACAAATGAGTAACTACAGTGCTCCTCTCAATTGCCATCAACTTGCCCACCCAAAAGTCACTTAAGTGAACCAAAATGGCCAAGAGTAAGCCTATGGAAACAGCTAACAGCTTTTAAGTAGTTTGTTCTGTGACATTGATCCCATTTTGGTATGGTTACAAACAGTTTGACATATTTTACTATAAAATATACACATTAAAATTCCCTGTAACTAAATAGATTTACCTTAAATTAAAAAACAGACTTTGGTATATTCTAAGGATTGGCATTTCTACCATCTTCTACAAGCAGTAGGAGCCCCCTGCAAATTCGAGCCTGAACTCTACGTACCTGGTTCTGGTTTAGAAGGACAGCCATCAGTAGGACTTTCTGACATTATTACTCAGAGATAAAAGATCAAACTAGACGTTTTATAGTAAGTTTTAAATTTTTATAAAAAGGATGACTTGGAAAGCTCTGCCAGTCTGTCCTTGCAAGAGCGAACAGAGCTTTAAGAATGGAGCTTCTGCTACTGTAGCTTCTCTCAAACTCTGTGGTGAAGACAAATAATCCTAGTTTCAGAAACGTTATCAAGGTTTGCTTCTCCAATAAGTCTAGGGCCCATGTCTGTCTCTCTCGAGTTACTGGAAGGACAGAGACCTGACTATCTAGGATGTTTCACACTGGATCCAACTAGTGTCATCTAACCACTCAGAACCAAGAATAGGCTTTGTAAACAGTGAATAGACACAGAGTGCCTATTTTCTCCAGGCAGAGTTGAAAGAATATTCAGATTACAAAGGATTTCTGCGTTTTCAGAGTTCTATTAAAATGTGTTACTAGCAAAGGGAAGTTGGGCTCACTGTGGAATACAAATCAAAGGAAGTAACAGAACAGGGTTTGTGATTTCACAGAAAGACATGGCATCTAAGGTAAGCTGAGTAAAGTGATAGGTCTGGGGTGTCGTAAGACAAGGCAATATTCTCCTCCCTTTTGACCCAGAAGAACACTTACAACGGAAAATGGGAAAAGAGAAGGAAATATCTTCTAAAATGTAGTTGCCAAACCAGCATCTAAAGTCATCCTGTCAGGGAATCAGCACAAGGTGTGTGAAACAAGATGATAGAAACCTCCTGCCCACAGCTTCTAAAGATGGAAATGAAAGGAGCATTTTCAAGGATGCTACTCCCAGGGTGTTTACTCTGGAAGATAATCTCCATTTTAAAGAAAGCACATTGTACCTTTAAGAAATGTTTCAAGCAAGATTTCACCCACCTGGGTGGAACAAGACATTTTTTTATGGAACAAATTTCAGGGGAGGACATGTGAGCTCATACTCAGCTACAAATGGATGGGAGGTGAAAGAGACCACGAACCCAAATAGAAGCAGGCCAGCTGGACTTTCTCTTTTTGGATGAAGAAAGGATGACAGAGATGAACTGTAGGTGAGTAAATTAAGATTTTTCCCCCCATAGTTTGACATTTTAATATATATTATATATAAATATTTAAAATATATACACTTACATAAAACATGAAATGTAAAAGAAGAAACAAGAAGGATACTGGGATATTGCACATTTAAAGAAAAATGTCTATGACACCATTTGTTAGAGCTGAACATGGCGAGTGTTACTAAAAACCAGTCAGCATAAAGCTGTTCCTGAGCCCGAATCTACTGTCTAGGGGTTCCCACTACTGTAGCAGTTCAGAAGGAACATTATCATTTTTAAATGAAAAGATCTGCTGTGTTAAAAACAAACAGACAAACAAAGCTTCTGGTGTATTCTGGACTCATCATTTTCTCTTCCAAGAAGACATGTATTGCCAGAAATAAGTCCTGAACTGTGATCAACTGGAGTGCCTCTTTAGTACCATTAGCTAAATACTCCCCGAGCACTGGGCTCTCCTACTTCAGATGTGGGCAAATCCACCTAATAAACAGACGTTTATGCATCTTTAATTCTGGCCTTGAAGAATACATTCTATATCAGTTTTTTTAATAAGTTTTAAGAGTTATTTATGTAATTCCATTTGTTGTTATTATCATTTTTTTAATTTGACCAGAAATAGACAGAAAAAGAGAGAAAGGGAAAGCGAGAAAGCAAGCCACCAGGTCCAGGACTTGAACCATGGTCAGCCATGTGGGAATCCAGTGCCTCATCCACCACGCCACCTGCCAGCTCTCTATATCAGTTCTGAACGCAGACTGAAAAATTATGATTTTGTGCAAGGGTGATGGTCTCAATGACTGCCAGTATACCTGTGCAGGAGATCAGTTTTTAAAAAGGATGTACATGAAATAAGATTTTTAATTAAAACAGACTGCAATGAATTGATAATGCTTAATACTAAGACTAAGCTTTCTTTCTTTCTCACATCTCTCAGTCTTTCATGAATACTCCATAATTTATGCTCACAAAAATGTAATGAAGAGGGAACCAGCAGTTAGCGTAATGGCTATGTTGCTGGACTCCCACGTAGTCGACTGCGGTTCATGTCCCGGACCCGGTGGCTTAAAACTCACGCCGGGCGCGTGTGCGTGCGTGCCCAAGATCCTGAGAGGAGAATGGAGGAGAAGGGATTGCGGTGTGACCATCCCCCTTAGGGGGTGATTTCTCGCTTTCTGTCTCTATGTCTCTCTCTGTCCGTCTGGCGAGCGCACGCGCCCTACAGTGAAAATCTCTCCAAAAAAAAAAAAAAAAGTAATGAAGAGAGATATTGTTACCTTTATCTCAGTTAAAAACAAAACACAACAGGAAAGATTAATAACTTGGAAAAGGCCTGAAGACTGTTGTACAATGAAACTAGAAGCTCAGGTTCTGATGTCGAACCAGATAATATCTCCTATAGGATACAGGTTGGACAGAACTCAGATGCAGAAGTCACAGACCCAGAAGCTGAACAGGATGGTACCTAGTGTCTGCCACATCCTCCAAGGCACCCAGTCAGGTTCACCTGACTTCCGTAACTCCCCACGTGTGTCAGCTGTAGAGTACGGCTGTTTGTTATAACCATCTTATAAAACGACTAGAAAGTTCCATTTCCTTAAAACACCAATAGTGTTACTCACTTTTTTTAATCTCTTCTAGCTTCTCAGTGTATTTAGTCATACTGTTTCCTAAAAAGAAAATCAGAATTTTAGATATACTTTAAATGGAAGAAAATGAGTACCACTGTGAAAACAGAATGAACATGTATTCCTAAGCTTTCCTATTCTGTTACTACAGGATGGTGGAGGACTAGAAGGAAATGTTTGGGCAAAATGTTTTAGTCAAATGTGTTTAAGCTAGGGTATATCCTTCCAAATCATTTATAATTCCCAGGCAGATGTTCATTTTATACATATATTTTTTGCTTTCTGAGTGAAGGTTTTCCTCCTTATATCCCTCCATAATTGTTTTGTGGGAAAGATATACAGATAAGGGGAAAGAAAGAAGCAATCCTCTTTGACTACACTGTCTAGAATGTGCCTTTGGCTACCCAAGTGACTCTCTCCTCCCCATTCTGTCTTCATAGCTTCCTCCTCCTTCCTAGATTTGGTCTTCCACTCACAATTCATGATGATGTTGCAGCCTGAACTAGACCACACAGTCTGTACCCTAGTATTCTCCATGGATTTGGTTTGCTGAGAAAGAACAGCAGATTCCTGCCATTGTGGACAGTCCCCACAGCCCTCATGTTTTATAATTTGGTTCTATATGCTAGGCTCTAGCCAAGGTAGTTTGGAGAGTTTCTGTACTTGAAAACTAGGCCAGGATCATTCTGGTTTCCAAATGTACTATTGTAAATGCTAGTTCTTACACTAGGGGCTATGATTTTTACTAGACATGCTTTGATTTGATTCAGTTCAACACAGCTCCTAAAAGGTATGGCAAAAGGAAAACATTCACAATAACTTCTCATTTAAAAAACACTGCTCCTGGGACCAGCAGTTAGTGTAATGGCTATGCTGCTGGACTCCCATGTAGTCGATCACGGTTCGAGTCCTGGACCCGGTGGCTTAAACTCACACCAGGCGCGTGTGTGTGCTTGTCCAAGATCTCGAGAGGAAAAAGGAGGAGAAGGGATTGCAGCGTGTCCATCCCCCCTGGGGGGGGGGTGATTTCTCGCTTTCTGTCTCTCTGTCTCTCTGTCTCTCTGTCTTTCTGGCGAGCGCATGTGGCCCTATAGCAAAAACCTCTCAAAAAAAGCCAAAAACCAAAATAACTCTGCCCCTAACTTTTTAAGCCTTAAGAGCATCTAGTCTGATTCAGTCCCAATTTGAGAAAAAATAAATGCTTCCAATTTATGGCATGAACTGATATTTTTAAGGACTATTCTGAACTTTTCCTTATGTCTGGGTCAAAAGTAGAGAAAGAAAATTCTTGCCCTGAAACTCAAAATACATTTTCAAAAAAAAAAAAAAAACCCACTTACTTCACTTATTATTTCATCTTTATCATAAATTTATTGTAGCCATTTGTTCGTTTGTTTTTCCTCTTCAGACAGAGAATGGAGGGTTTTGTGTGACCCAGACCTAATCTGTGTCTTTCCAGAAGCTTGGAGAGAGACGAAGGCAGTCAGGGTTACCCAAAAACCTGAGCTTTCCCGAGAAATCTGGATTGCATCTCAGAAGAGACCCAAATATCACCAAAGAACAGAGGTGGAACCAAACGAGATCTTTCCTAGGTTCTTCAAACTGCAATTGACCTGAAATATGACCAGATCTCCAGAGCAGAAACCACAAATTCTTCCTGGACACACATCCCTCCTTCCTACTGCAACTCTGAACTCAGAGTATTTATTGCCTGATCAATATTATGGAAAAAGACGACAAATCGGTATGTTGTGCAGCTCCTCACAGTCTTAATCTTTTTAAAATTTATTTGTATGTTATGAGTGAGAGCATGAGCGAGAGGGAAATAAGCACCTCAGCAGAGTCCCCAGCAATAGTTTTCTTGCCCCAGCCTTCAAGCCAGCCAGGACCATGGATGCACATAGGTAGACCAGGAACTGAAACTGTGATGGTCCATATAGATGCAGCCTCACCTACAGCAGGTTACCACTGCACCACTGAGCTGGCCCACAGTCTTATTCTTAACTGTTTTGTACAGCAGCTTTCGGTTCTATGTCCCGGAGTTCCCTACAGCTATACATTGGTGACGTAGCAGTTTCTTTTGCCTAGAGGAGCCTTAGGTAGTCTAGTCTGAAAAGTGAGGGACAAAAAGGATTCCTGGTTTTTCCAGTGACACAAATAGCTAGTAGCTAAGCCAGAAGCCTCATTTCCAATCTTCTAGTTTCTAATATGGCTCACGAAAACACATGGCTCTTCTATTTGTGTTGTTTTAAAAGCATGATTCACCATGAGGCAAATCTGTAGGAAGTGCTTCTTCCTCAAATAGTAACAGGTAGGGGCTAGCCTAGGCTGTGAACTCCCTGAGGAATGGAAAACAATATGCATCGAAAACAAAAGTGGATCTCATTCACGCTGTCTTTATTTTAAAATACTGCACAGTAGTCTCTACTAACAGGGTCTAAAATTAATCTCTCAACTAATTACTAATGTTGTCAGTCTTTGCACAGTTTTTCTAGTATCAACAGCCCCTTCCCCATGATCACATTAGAAGATAAACTGTCACATTGATGCTTTTCCCCCTAAAAGTGAACATAGTGAAACAAAGTCTTTTCCACAATTATGTAACTATTGGGCAAAATTAAGAACAAATCTAAGAGAACTGCTGATAAAAAGTCTTTTCATTATAGAGATCCATTCAATCCAATAGCAAAAAAAAAAAAAAAAAAAAAGAGAGAGAGAGAGACTTGAGAATTTCTGCACTGCTTCAATTGGAGAAATAAGGCAGGAGGATGGCTGACACAAAAATCAACATAGACATCCCTAGAAGTGATTTTAGAAATGATAGGTGGCATTTCTATAAACGTTTATTCATTTCTTTTCAGGAGACAGAGAAAAGCACCTTCAATATGATCTCATGCCACAATTGTCCCACCAGCCTTCCTAGCCACCCAGGATCATAGGCAAGCACACAGACCTGGTGTGTACAGATGGACCTGGGGGCCAAACCCCAGTCTTCCATATGACTTTCAGCATTGTTGTGCGGCTGCTTGTAACACCATAGTGATACCAAAAAGTAGCATTTTATCACAGTTTACACACTGCTTATACCTTAACTAAGCAGTTTATCTTTCTGTATCTGATGGCATCTAAAAACAGTTTTTTGAGGACCAGAAGACAGTGTAATGGTTATGTTGTTGGACTCCCATGTAGTCGACCATGGTTCGAGTCCCAGACCCAGAGGCTTAAAACTCACACCAAGTATGAGTGCGAGCATGCCCAAAAATCCTAAGAGGAGAATGGAGTAGAAGGGATTATGGAGTGGTCACCTCCCCCGGAGGGAAGTTGATTTCTTGCTTTCTGTCTCTCTGGCAAGTGTACGTGCCCTATAGCAAAAATCTGTCTAAATAACTAAATAAAAATTTTTTTTTTGAGAGGTTTTTGCTACCGGGCGCGTGCGCTCGCCAGACAGACAGAGAGAGACATAGAGACAGAAAGCGAGAAATCCCCCCCCAGAGGGGATGGTCACGCCACAATCCCTTCTCCTCCATTCTCCTCTTGGGATCTTGGGCACGCACGCACACGCGCCCGGCGTGAGTTTTAAGCCACCGGGTCCGGGACGCGAGGCACAGTCGACTACATGGGAATCCAGCGACATAGCCATTACGCTAACTGCTAGTTCCCAATAAAAATGTTATTTTGACTACCTTTTTAAAAAAGACCGAAAGGAATCAACTTCATCATGCCTTATTTGTAAATATATACTTTTTTAAATATGAAAATAAGGAGACCTGTGCCAGTTTCACAACCTGGTGGTTAAGAGAAATTGCCCCCAAATGGTTGATGGCAGTTGAAATTCCAGCCTTCCTGGCTTGAAAAACACATGGAGCATGTGTGCCTGCCCCAGATCCCAGCAAGATGGTGAAATGGAGGAAGAGAGATTGCCATGTGATCACATCTGACTGGGGGGGTGCTTTTTACCTCTCCCTATGGCCTACATGCATTTGCCCTTTACAATTAAAAAATAAAATAAAGGAGACTATAAGTGAGCTGACTTTTTAAGAAATTTGAAATTACACATTACTGCCAGACAACTTTTCCTACATAAGACTTTAATTGAAAAGAAAGAAGTCAGTGCTTCCCATTGCTTACTGACTGAAGTTTAAACTGACTCTAGCACTGAAGACATTAACTTCTCCATCTCTGCAGTGTCGCCTTAATTACTGACCTTGATAAACTCTCAGTCTTTGGTTCTCTAACATAGCACCTTGTCTTAGGAAACACAATAGCTTACCCAGAAGGAAGTGACCTTTTCTGCCTTTGAACTTCACAGCACTCAGCTTACCACCATAAAGCATCTATCACTGGACTGCCTTGTCCACCTTATTAGAAAGTCCTTTACGTGCATGTCCGTGCACACACACATACACACACAATCTTTATTCTTGTATTGTCTAACATATATGACACTCAAACATATTTGCTGAATGAAATACACTATAAAGATCTACCATCTGAAAACTCTTACAGTGAGTTGTTGTATCAGGCAAATAATCACACTCTTTTGGCTTAAGTTTTTGTATCCCTGATTTTCTTTTCTTTTCCCTTCCTTTTCTCTCTCTACCTCTTTCTTTCTTTTTCTAAAATACCAAAGGCTGTGCATGTTTGCCAGGGGAGAGACAGAAAGAAAAAGAGAGAGAGAAAGCAAGAAAGCACTCACCATGGGGTATGGTTATACTGCAATCCCTCCTCCATTTCTCTCTTCTGTTGGGATTTTGGGCACTCACACACATGTATCCAGCAGATAAAAACACACCAATGCCACGACTTGCTGCCTTAACTACCAAGCTGACCCCTGAATTTTTTTTTTTTTTACTTTTTTTTTTGGAGAGGTTTTCGTTATAGGGCATGTGCGCTCGCCAGACAGACAGAGAGAGACATAGAGACAGAAAGCGAGAAATCACCCCCCGGGGGGGATGGTCACGCTGCAATCCCTTCTCCTCCATTCTCCTCTCGGGATCTTGGGCACACATGCACATGTGCCCGGCGTGAGATTTAAGCCACCG